CCCCCCGCCACGGCCTCTTTACACAGGACCCAAACCTGAGTGTGAAATCACTGGTGTGCAGCTCATGGGGGGAACTTTTCTTTCTCCTCCCTCACACACCCACCCACACAGTTTCCGAAAGCCCAAATGTTCCCTAAGTCGACACATTTCCTTTGTTAGCAGGAAAAAATATGCAAATGCTTGCTTTTACACTTTAGCACACCGGAGCTGACTGCCAGGTCTGTTGGGTGGGAGCCACCAAGGACTGGTGACCCTTTTTCCGAGAGTGACTAGGGGTGGGGTCAGGGAGCACCTGGGAGACCTGAATCCCAAAGCCAGCCGGGCTATCCCTCTGCATTTCTTTGTCCTAACACAGGCTTTTGTCCACCAGCATCCCCCGTCGGAGGCCCCTGTACAGAAGAGAACACCGTCTGTTAATCAAGAGCCACACGGCGCGTACGGCGCGTAGTTAGAGCTCAACAATGAAGCTTGAGGAGAGGCAGAGATCTCCCAGTTGTGTCCAGCCTGGTGGGATTCTAGAGAAGCTATTTCTTTAGGAAGCATCCCTTACTTTAGACAGACTGGGGCACTTCCAGTGGCTGGCCACAGTGCCCCGAAAAGGTGGACTCAGATGGACTTGGGCATCAAGGAAGGTTCTGTGGGGGGCTCACGGGCTGTTCTTCCGTGTTTCGTACATACAAATCAAGTTGGGGGCAGGCCACCACTAGTGCAGGGCCAACGAGAAGGCAGGTTCAACAAAGTGTCCCCTCCCTAACCCCTGCCGCCCCTTCTAACAAAAGGAAGACCAAAAGGAAGATGTCCAGGGAAGCCTCATCTAAAAGGTGGAGGAGCAACATTCCTCGGTGCCAAGTGTCCTGGCCATGGCTGCAGCGGGAGGACCACACCGTGCCACCCCCTGGCTGGGTGTCACGATGAAATTTGGACATTATACCAGAAGCAAAAGGGTCACTCCATCAAACCCTTAAGAAAAGGATGAGGGAAGAAGCGTGTATGCCCTCGAAGCCCCAATCTTCTGGTGCCCCAGGCTTCAAAACTTAACACAAGCTGCTTCTTACATGTCTCCTTTAGTTGTCACCTTGGGACAAGGACCTCTGAGCACCTGACTGAGGAAACAAACGCAGCTGCCACAATCATCCTGTTGAGCCCTCTCCCCTCCCCTCAAAAAGGGCCAGCAGCCCCCTTCCCTTGAAAGGGCTTTTCTTTAGAAAGGGCGGCCTGGACTTAACATGAGAGGGGAATGCAGTTTAGAGACACCTGGGACCACGGGGTGCTTTCAAAGCCTCTCCCCGCCCTTCCAGGTCTTGTCTGGTGCGGTTTTCAATATTAAGGCCGCACAGATAAATAACACCCAGTGTCAGGATGAAGTGTTCTTACGTGCACAGGGTCAGATGGAGGGTTGAGGCCCAGAGCGTGGTCCGGTGTCATGGGAGTGGAGCTGG